GGGAAGGGGCTGAGCGATGAGCCCGGCCCGAGCCGGTGGGACCCGCAGCACCCAGCGCTGAGCCCGCCGGGGCCGCCGGAGCCGGAGATGGCAGCGGAGTCCGTGAGTGACAAGTCGCCTGGGCCCGCCTTCCCCTGCTCCCCCCAGGGCCCCTTCTCACCTCTCCCACCCCCTTTTTCTCTCCCCGAGGGAATTCCCCCCCCGCCCCGGCTCTCCTGAGGTCATCACAAAAGTCAGTGCACTCCCAGCTCGGGGATTCCATTTAAAATACACATCAGGAATTCAAAATCTTAACTGCACAAGAGCCAGTGTTTAGGCCTTGTGTGTGTGCCAGGCTCCAGCAGCAAATACATGGATGGATTTGTTGGACTGAGTGATACAACCTGTTTGGATTCTGGTTTGTCATTGTGGTGTGCACTGTTCTGCCCCCTGTCACCAGAGCTGGGAGGGCTGTCACAGTGGCAGAGGGGAAGATGGTCAAAGGACAGAGCACTTCAGCTTTTGAATCCTTTTCAAACTATCCAGAGATTGCTGTAATATTTACTCTTTCCAAAAACACCCTCCAAAGCTGTTCTCATCAACCCTCAGTTGGGACAGGCACTGACCAGACTTGTCACTTTGCATCCTCCAAGAAATGTTCACAGTGCTGCTCCTGTTAAAGCTCATGTGGAAGAAATAATGTCCCTTTAAATGAGACTTTCTGCCAGTTGCACTTTTCTCCTGGGCTCCTCATGTGATTCTGTTTGTCTTCCCTTTGGCATGTTTTCATGAGCAGCTCAGTGTCTGGTGCTGAGTGCTTTTAGTTTTCAGTCCTGGAAACACTGCACCCATGTTTAAAGTGCCCTTTAGGAACTGCCTGACTTTTGTGTATGTTCAGTTGAAACAGCTTTATGGCATGAGGACCTTAGTAGGTTGCCAATTAAAAGCACCACTCAACAACTCAAAAATCAGAGGTCAGAGCTCTTGAGTTGATTATATGGGTCAGTTTCCACTTGTAAGAAATGTTAAGAAGTGTGACTGACTTGAAATACTAATTTTGTCACACTGATTCTTGTAGACCATCCCCATCTGGCAGAACAAACCCCACGGCTCAACGCGCAGCTTTGTCAGGAGGATTGGGTCAACCCTCCCTCTGAGACCCTGTCCCAGGGCAACCTTTGAGGTGAGTGGGCTCGTGAGGGGTCTGGTGAACGTGGGTAGGAAGCTGTTGGCCTCCAGCAGGACAAGGTACTGCCACAAGCTGCTGTGGTGGCAACCACACGTGTCTGCCGAGTTTTGCCAGAACTCCTGTGGCTGTATAGTTCATTTTAAGACTTTTTTATTATTATTCCTTCCTTTGGAAGTTAAGTTCTTGTGATGATCCTTGGCAACTCGAGGAAAATGCCTCCTCAGATAGTGCCTGTGGGCTGGGCTAGCAAGCTGGAGGAGAGAAACATGGAGTTGTTGAACCAGTGCTTTGTTGTGTGACCTCCAGCAAGCCACATGCCCTGTGGGCCTCTATTTCCTCAGCAGTAAAACAGGGTTCATGGAAACACCCACGTCACTGTTGGAGCTCAAGGACAAGGCTGGGACTTGTGGAGGCAAAGCGCTGCATGTGGCCTTGGCAGCACTGAGCTGTATCAAGTGTCACTTCCCTGCCTCGTGGGGTGTCACAGCACAGTGACACACCATGAGCACCTGCAGAGGCCCTAAGCCCAGGGATGTTGGATGAGCTTTTGTGCAGCCTGGTCTGGAGTGGGGTGTTGGAGGTTGGAACCTGATGATCTTTAAGGTCCCCTCCAACCTGAACCATTCTGTGATGCTGTGTGGCTGTCACATCTGACAGGTGCAGCTGCTGAGCTGGTGCAGGGGAGGAAGGCTCTGACAGTCCTTGCAGCACATCTGGGGAGGCTTCAGGAGACAGGACCACCATCTCCTTACTGTAAATCTCTTCTTTTTAGGTTCTACCAAGTGTTTCTGAGCTCTATTTAAACGATGTCTCCCCAGTCCCCACCTTGGCAGACATTGTGTGGATTGCAGCCGACGATGAAGAAACGTACGCCAGAGTCAGGTTGGTTTCCTCTTTGCCTGCTGCTCCTAGTTTTTATGCTCTATTTTGGACAACATAGGCCAGGCATTGACCAAATGCTCAAAGCCTTCCAGGCCTCTCCAGGTCTAACGTGGTGCCTGTTGAAAGACATTTTTCCCAGGAGACAGGAAAAAAATATCGGACACAGGGAGGAATTCCTGTAGGAAGGTGCTGAGACCTGTGCTGTGCCCTGTTGCACTCACTGAAGGAGCTGTGCAGTAACCCCTCCAAACCCTGGTATTTTCTGGTTAGAAAGTTGAAGAGTTGGGTTGTCCTGGGATTGAAATGTTCTGTCCTCTGCATCTGGGTTCTGGTCAGTTGAACTCTTGTTCAGCTAGGCCCAACGCAGAAGGTGTATTGTGAAAGATAAAATGGACTTTGAAATCAGAGGCAAAAGTTAACGGGTGAGCGACACTTCCCATGTGCCCCCAGCAGGACACACAGTCACCAGGACAGAAATGACTTTAAACCACATGAGGACACCCTGGCTTTTGTCCCTGTGTCCTCTCACCACCCCTTGTGTCTTTGGGTCATGATTTCTGCGACAGGTTTTTTATTCCTGATAACGCAGCGAGAGCACGCGGAGCGGCACAGCGCATCCGTCAGGTGGTACCCGTGGTGGTTGGTACACACAGCACAATGACACGCAGCCTTAACTCATTGTGGTGACATCTGTGCTGAGGTGGAGGCCAAGCTTATTGTCATGGAGGGGTCTGGACATTTTTGAGTGACCAACAGCTTTTGTCCTGCAGAAGTGACACTCGCCCGCTGAAGCACACGTGGAAGCCAAGTCCCTTCACTGTCATACAGCGAAATGCTTCGGTGCCCAACCTGAGGAAGCAGGAGGAGAAGCTGCTGGCCTTGAAGAAACCTGGGCTACCAGCTCTGAGCCGAACTACAGAGCTCCAGGATGAGCTGAGTCACCTTCGGAGCCAGATCGCTAAAATAGTCGCTGCAGAATCAGGTAGGAATGCAGTGAGGGGGTTTTGGTTGAACAAGACAGGCTGTGAGAGAGTTGGGGTGTTCAGCCTGGAGAAGAGAAGGCTCCAGGGAGACCTTAGAGCACCTTCCAGTGCCTGAAGGGGCTCCAGGAAAGCTGGGAGGCACTTGGGTCAAGGGCAGGGAGAGAGAGGACAAGGACACTGGAAGAGGGGAGATTGAGGTTGGACATTCTTGGGTGTGAGAGTGGTGAGAGCCTGGCCCAGGTTGCCCAGGGAAGCTGTGGCTGCCCCATCCCTGGCAGTGTTGAAGGGCAGGTTGGATGGGGCTTGGAGCAACCTGGGCTGGTGGGACGTGTCCTTGCCCATGCAGGCTCTAGATGAGCTCGAAGGTCCCTTCCATCCCAAACCATTCCATGATTCTTCATGCAAGATCAGAGGAACAACCAAATGAATAAAGAACAGGGGGAGTTCTGTGCTTTTTTCCTTCCAAGTGTTGTCTGAACCCTAAACCTGTGAGCTAGAAAGGTCCATTTGAATTCAAGGAGAGCAATAACGAGAGAAATTAGAGATCCAGATGAGAGACAAATTATTTAATAATTTAATACCTTTTTCTCTCCCTGTCTGCTCAGCAATGGGCCTGGTTCTTATCAGCTGGTGCTGGAGGATGGTTGGTATTGACTTAGTGGCCTCCAAGTCAATAAGAGGGAGCTGTGATTTAGGGCTGAGCTGCAGCTCCCTAACCTGATGAAGGAGATAACTATTTAGCAAGCTTGTTGTAGAAAGATTGATGTCAAAAAAAGAAATATTGTGCAATCTGTTTTGTGTACTGTGAGAGCAATCCCTTAATTGGAAATTGATAACTATCTACAGGTTTACTCCTGAGGCCAAGGACATTAGTGCTCAAAGGTACAGTTTGTTTCCAATGCAGGAAGGTTCTCTCGACGAGATGTGGTTGTTTTGGTTGTTTTTCCTTTGTGTTTTACACTGGAAGTATTGAACTCACTTTCACTTAATAACACTTGGAATTTATATAGCTCTTCTTGTCCTCGCTGCATTTTAAAGCCTGAGGAAATGAATCCCACTTTCCCCCTGGAATAGGTGGTTGCTATTCTCATTTTACAGCTGGTGATGGAAAAGCAAATGAGGTCATAGGGCCTGTGGTCACAGAGTGAGTTGTTGTGACACTTCAGTGCAAAATGCTGGAGCTCCTGCAGCAGCTCTGCAGTCTCAGCAGGA